AGGAATTTCCCTTTGCTTCACTTTTTAGAAAATTTGGCTATGGGCTTAAAATAAATTATTTTCTTTGTATTTGCATTATAATCATTTTAACTATTCTAAATATTGTGTATAGTTAAAATTGTATAATTTTCTATTTAATATGTAGAATATCTAGCCCTAACCAGGACTGGAAAGACCAACTTTCAGGTGGCTGGCTTTATAATGCTCAGAATGTGGCAAGACTAATTTTCATTTTCAGCTTGTTTTATTTTTAAAGACATTTCCAAACTTCCCTTCACTCAATATGACTAATATCTTCAGGTACTCCAATTTAGGATTAAGTTACTTTTTTAATTCTAAACTGTAGTACATAAATAGATATCATACAGGTAATGCAGTACGAAATCTTTAATGGACTAAAATATGATTAACCCTCTTACTGTGGTCAGGTCAAATGGCACATTATGACCTTTTAGAGAAATATTTTCAAAATTTAAAGAAACAACTTATTATGATTTTATGTCAATAAAATTGGAATCGAATTGTAGTTTATAATACTAAATGTAATATTATACATGTTTTAGTTTCTTAATTCTAAAGAAGATATTTTTTTTAAATGCTAAATACATATTTTTGTATGTCATTATGCATGTCTTCTTGTCTTATTGCTCAGTATATATTTTATTATGTCTAAAATAACTTATCTACTATAGTGGTTAAAGTATTAGAAACTCAAATTTCAAACACTTCCAAGCTAGAATATAAAATAAGAACCCCCACCTTTTGGATTTACTGAGGTATCAACACATTTGCAAACCTCGTCTACTCACGCTTACTTTTCTTAAAGACGTCGAACTGTTAAAAACACTATACGTTTGTATTTATATGTAAGTGCTGTAGAAATATAAGTTAAAAATTATGGCAAGTCATTTTTCGAAAATTTTCCCCGACCCGGCTCTGCAAGCACACAAACTTAGTGCAACAGCCAGCCCTTGTGATCGCTAGTCTGAAAAATTGGGTCACGGACGACTGACGTCACACAAAGTAAACAAGGCCAATGGCGGTCGGTTTCCTGTCTGTAAACCTGTTTTGTGTGAAAATCACCTGTTCGTTTATATGAAAACAACTCGTTTTTCTCTGAACAAGTTTCATTTGATAGACG